ATCAAAATAAAAATGTCTTACTTGTTAATTTATTTATAATTTTTTCACATTATTCCATTATTAATTTTCTATAAAAGATTCAATGACCGATAAATCGTAGTAAATAAAGGTCATTGACCTTATAATCCGCCATTTTGAATGGTCCTTGAGTCGTCACCACGCACCTGCAACGCGCACTTGCTTAAAATATCACTTCCGGTAGCGTGTTTCTGGGGAATTTTCCATTCATTGAAATGTAAACAAAGCAGACAGTTAAAAACTTTTGATAAAAAATCGATAAAAAATGAAATAAAACAACATTTATGATAATATTCAGTTAGGATTACAAAAAATGGGATTATTATTTATTTTATCCTTAATTTACCGACTAAAACTTGTTGCTAAATGAAAATTGCCGATACATGAAATGTACATAGAGGATATTTGTTTAGTTCAGTGTAAGATCGGAATATATTTCACCGAGTGAGCACCAAAAGGTATATTTCACGAGTGGCGCAGTCACGAGTGAAATATGAACTTTTGGTGTTCACAAGGTGAAATATATTTCAATCTTACACTAAACTAAACAAATTTTCTTTTTATTATATGCAAAGAAACGTTTTAAAAAGACATTTAACCTAATACTGAATGAAAAGCGCGCCAAATAATAATATAACGTGACGTCATTTACGACGTCACGTCATTAAGTTGGTTCCCAGTACTGTGCACGCTGGTATTTCACTGAAATAACGTAAGGGGCTTAAATTCAAAACAGTGAAATTATCAAAGTGGTAATTTCACTGTTTCAAACAGTGAAATTACCATTTTTATATCACTGATATATTTCTATAAACCACCGAAAAGCATGTAATAAACAGTAATATTGATTTTCTCATCCTTTTTGGTACCCATAAAAAGATTGTGTGACGTAATAAAACATAGTGACGAATCAAGGGCAGGGTCGAATCTAGGGCACTTGACGATATATATCAAAAAAACTAAATATAAGCCATTTTGAAAAAATTTCATATTTCAACATCTATAATAACAGAATAATAGACAAGATAAAAATGTTCGCCGGAAAAAATCCGCACCCCTACCGTCATAATCACCATGTATTTTATTCCATTTCCAATATTTTCACATAATCCTTTGGTCCATCGACACAGAAGATATAATTCTTCACAATGATGGTCAATTTTTAACTTCAACGGTAATATAAACAACGCAACAGCCGAAATAAACATCAATATTATAGCCGTTTTATAAAACCAACGCTTTTTAAATGTAAAGAATCACATGGTTTACTACTGTTTTCCTCCATTTTAAAATGGCTGCATTTATATTTTCACCCAGTACGTGGGTCGAAAATATATCGAGTACCATCGTAATATATTCTTTCTGAAAAAGGTTACATAGAAGAATATTTGTGGAAGTATAGATATATTATTGTTCAAGCTGAGTTTAAGCGATTATGGATGGATACGTACCGTTTAACTGCTGTACTTGGCGATCGGAGAATAGTACACGCCGTTGTTGTTGTTGTTAGTTGCGGTGCGCATGCGTGCTTCACTGGTTCTAGTTTTTCAGCGTGTCTTGTCACACTTTAGGGAACCAGACAACATCGGAATACGTCGTAATACAAAAACGACCCCCATGGACCATATAGACCCAACAAGTGGAGTTTTACATTACCTTTTATTTACAACGCAAATTTGGATAAAATCCAATCTAGATGATTTATTATTAGTGGGTCGAAAATTGTTGGGTTCTGGACCCATTAATCGACTTGAAGACCCAACAATCGACTTAAGACCCACTTGTAAGGTCTAATTAAGCTGAAAAGACCCAACATCTTACCAAGTTTAAAACTATATATATATATATATATATATATATATATATATATATATATATATATATATTGTGTGCCACGAACAAGACTCAGGTCTCTACAACTAAGGTCAAGGTCACTGTGGGGGTTCAAACTTTGTCAATTTTGATGTTAATATACATATAGGCAGAGATGGTCGTGTCTGCTCTAAAACTAATATGAATAAAAGGATTATATTTTTTATTTCACATATGAAATTAACATAAATGTATGATGTATTGCCTTTAAGACCCGTGTTCCTATGCCTTAGTTCAAGGTCGCTGCTGAGGTTTAAACTTTTTCAATATTAATTTTATGTTATATACATATAAAATTTAATGGTGGTTATTGTGTCCGCTCTGTAACTTCCATACATGAAAGTTTCAATTTTTAAAAAAAAATATTAAGTCACCATTAGATGGACAATTTGTTGTGAACCTAACCCATGTTTCTTTGTCTAACTTAATGGTCACTGCTGGGGTTCGAACTATGTCAATTTTTACCATCACACTTAACATGTAATAGGTGGTTTACAACAAGAATCCTTTGAGGCATTAGTCACGTTCTGTGACAGCTCTTGTTTATATATTATTTTTGTATATTGATATTTTTTGCACTTCAAAATATGTTTCTTAACACTTATATCAGGTGCCAATAGATTTATAACTCTAGCTGTATTTCTAGAATTATCTCCATTTCATTTTTGAACCTGGAATTTAGGTAAAATTCATATATTTCTAAGTATAATCTTTGTTATTAGAAATGATATCTACTCTAGACTTAAAATAATTGTTCTTTGTCATTACTTACATCATGCATGACAAGGTTCATAACTCTAGCATCTTTATTTCAAGAGATATTTTCTCTTTGAACTTATAACTTTACTATAAATTTAAAGGTCATGAATTTTTTACTATTTTCTGCTTTTTTTCAATTGGTATAGTAAAAGTGATTTAGTATTTTGTATGGAAGTCAAAATACTACTATGTTTACATTTTGCTACCCTTTTTACATTTTTTTTTCACATTTAGAGATCTTTTTTCTACCAAATTGAATGAAAGTAATTTACATTAGTATCTTTATTGTGATCACAGAGACTCGGCACAGTGTTGGGGTAGTGTAAAAATCAATTTAAGAAAAAAATACTTATATTTTTTTTTCTCTAAAATTAATTTTACCCAACACGGAACTCAGAGTCCCTGTGAATGTGAGTTGTAAGTGATTAAAAACCTTTTTTTAATGTAATCCAGTCTTTTTAGTCTTTAACTCTTAATAAAAATTGAATGTACCTATGAAAATCTTCGTTTTTCTTATATCTGAAATGTTCTCTATATCCTACAGCTTAAACTATACATTCTTGAAACATGATAGGATCATAAAACATTCTAGGGTGCTGCTATCAGTGATACTGTGACAAGCCATGTAATTATAATCAAATGCTTACACTGGCCAGAGATAGCAAATTTTGGGGGAAAACTGGAAATCTTGGGTTTATGCGTAGGACTGTTAAATTGAGAACAAATGCTTGGTGTTAACTATTTATTTTTATTGTACAAAAAAAATTACCACTGCTTCATAACATTTAGGCTACCATGATATGTTTGAATCCTTTCATTACCCAATTAAACCAAGGGAAGGAAGGGGTGTTTGTTTGAAGTTTTTAAGTTTTGCAATACCTTCTTTCCCCAACCGTGATGATAAAATGTAGTCATGATGCATGTTATTGACCTAGTTAACATAGAGTTATTTATAGCCTTCATAGGAAAAACCCACAGTGTACTATATTTAAACTTAAGTTCTGTTTGTTTATAATGTTGTGTTATTTTTATTTTAAAAGTTTTATTTTATGTATTATAATTAAATAAGTTTTCACTTTTGTGACTAAAGATGATTTTAAAGCTCTTAAGAAGTGGAAGCTTGTCTTTCTGTGTTAAATATAGTTATTCATAATTCAGACATTTTGCAATTTACTTTTCAAGTACTCGAGTACAATTATGCAAATTTAAAACTTGCCAGTATGTTGTTAATTTTCATGTCCACTATATATAGGCAGTTACATGTAATCATTTATGAGTGGACCGGAGGCAAGTTGGTTATCGAATTGCATATACCTCCCAACTCCATCATTAGTCCATTCTTTTACTTTTTAACATCAAAAATATTTTACAATTTTAGTTAAATTTTTCTTAAGAAGTTAATATGATTGAGATATTATGATGATTCATAAGATTTATTACATGAGGGTTAATATTTTAAATTTTTAATTCAAATGTTAATTTACTTTAGCTGCTTTTGACTCATATATAATTATTTAAAATTTGAAAAAGTAATCTTTTTATCAATAATGCTTTAGATTCCAACTTTTGAAAAATGTTTTTAAATTTAAAACTTTTATGGTTGTTGTTGACTTTTTTTTTCTTTAATTATTCTAGAATTTGTTGCAGAAACATTTATGTTACACGAAGAACAGGTGTCAAATGTTGGCTATTAATTTATTTTCTTCATACAAAAAACAAACAAAAAACATCTCGTACTGAAGTTACAGTTATGCTAGTTCTCTATTTGCAACATAGAGTTATTTATAGCATTATGGAAAACCCACAGTTTACTATATTAAGAACAAACTTAAGAAGAATGTATGAATAACAGAGTGTCTTATTTTTATTTTTCAATTTTACTTTTATGTAGTATAATTCAGTAAGATTTAACTTTCGAGAAGTCACTGTCTTTAACAGGGGTTCAGAAGTTGATGCTTGTTATTCTGTGATAAATATCTTACAGAAGGCAGCAAATAAATAACAGTTTACATTTGAAGTACCCGAATACAATAATGCAAATTTAAAACTGGCCACAATGTTGTAATATTTGATGTACACTATATATAGGTAGTTAGAAGTTAACATCATTGAGTGGACCGGAGGAAAGTTGGTTATCGAATTACGTATACCTCCCAACTCCAACATTAGTCCATTCTTTTACTTTTACAAAAATAAACATTTTTTAATTGTTATTGTCATTGAAGTTATTATTGGGTAATATTTTTATTAGTTGGAACTTGAAAAATAATTATTAGATAACAATGAGAAATATTTAAAAAAGACAGGATGCCTATTTTAGATAAGATAAGTTTTTGTGTTTTTGTGTTGTTTTTTTTGTTTATTTAAATAAATAAATGTATTATATATTGCAGCTCAGACAACCTCGGAGATGGATACAATGTTAGCCAAACAGAACAAATTAATCAAGAAGTTGAAAACAGAATGTCGTAAACAGGCAGCTCAACTGGAAGAAATACTGAAGAAAAACAGGTAAATAATCTTTTTTAAGAACCAGTTTATTTGTGGACCAGTTTTATCCAGTTCTTGGCTATAAGTATGAAATTATCTTTAAACAGTTTGATGGCTTTCTTATCAAAAGGCTAACTTACATAATATATATAATAGCTATGATATTATTAATTGATATTAAGATTATGATTGTATGAGATTTACCTGTTGTTGATAGTCTCAACATAGCTTTAGCTTTACAGTATTTTGATGCATTATTTTCTGTAAGTGTAATAATTAACATTTTACTGCAATCAGAACAATTTGATAAGAACACTGTAAACTAGTTTTTTTTTTGCTTCTAGAAAATTCAGTAAAAGAAATAAAATCTTCAGATTTCCAGGTATTAAAGTATTCAAGATGGATAAATCTTATTGACTTAAAAAATTATTTGGAAGAGTTTCTTCCCTTTGAATAAAATAAATTGCATACTTGTAGAGCTGAGAGTGGTAAATTAAAGCGTCATAATGATGAGTTAAGGAATCGTGTACAGAGATCTACAGCGAGATTGAAGGATCTGGAGGATCAGGTAGAACAACATTCACGTGTACAGGAGAAGATGACGGAGAGACTAAAGATGATGGATGACCACTCTCAACATCAGGGTACTCAGGTATGAACCCCGGCATATCTTTGTCCATTACACCCTGACAGAAATGTGTGATAAACTCATCCTGCTTTACATTTGGATCAGTCCATTATTAAATGAAGGGATTTAAGTATTAAAATACCCAACAATATATTATAAAAATCACACAGATGTTCAAGCTAGCCTGGTTTTATTCTGGCCAAATAGAGAATTTATTTTTGCCAGTAGTTCTCATACATTTATGTCTGTCTTATTCTGAGTACAGGTATAGTAATGAGTCTGGATATATATGTAATTAGTCCCCTATGGGTTTACCGGAGGGGACTTTAGGTTTACCCTCCGTCCGTCTGTCCATCCGTCCGTCAGTCTGTCCATCCACAAAACAGGATCCAGCGATAACGCAAAAAGTATTGAAAATGTTTTAATGAAACTTGATATATGGATAGATGGCAGTATGGAGATTATGCACGTCTTTTTCTTTTCTTCCTATGTTGAAAATTCTGGTTTCTATGGCAACAAATAGACTGAAAATATGGCAAATTTTACACATAACCTGAATCCCGCGATAACGCAAAAAGTACTTAAAATATTTTTATGAAACTTGATATATGGATAGATGGCAGTATGAAGATTATGCACGTCTTTTTCTTTTCTTCCTATGTTGAAAATTCTGGTTGCTATGGCAACAAATAGACTGAAAATATGGCAAATTTTACATATAACCTTGATCCAGTGATAACGCAAAAAGTTCTGAAAATATTTTTATGAAACTTGACATATGGGTAGATGGCAGTATGGAAATTATGCACATTCTTTTTTATCTTCCTATGTTGAAAATTCTGGTTGCTATGGCAACAAATAGCCTGAATTTCAAGATTTCTGATTCTAGTTTTTAAGTTTTTTCACTATAAGTTCTTTATTTCTTAAAGTATTTTCTTCAAACTTTAAATATAAAATGCTTGTCATCAACCACATCATATGTGACAAGGTTTACAACTCTAGCACAAAATTTATCAGAATTATCTCCCTTGAACTTAAAATTTTCATGAAAAAAACATTGTTTTTTTAATAACTTCTTTTTCTCAATATATCTACTTCAAACTTCATATAAATGTTTCTTATTATCACTCAACATTTGTGAGTGTTCAATACTCTAGCAAGACTATTTCCAGAATTATGCCCCTTTTGAACTTAGACTTTTTTTTGAGAAATTGGTAATTTTTAGCTCGACTTTTCTATGAAAAGGGGAGCTATCCTACTCGCCCCGGCGTCGGCGTCACACCTTGGTTAAGTTTTTCGTACCACCCCACTTTATTTCAGAAGTATTACAAGTATGGCTTTGAAACTTACCATACTTGTTCACCATCATAACCTCCATCTACAGACAAGAGTACATAACTCTGTCAAGGTTTTTGACAGAATTATGGCCCTTTTTAGCTCGACTTTTCTATGAAAAGGGGAGCTATCCTACTCGCCCCGGCGTCGGCGTCACACCTTGGTTAAGTTTTTCGTACCACCCCACTTTATTTCAGAAGTATTACAAGTATGGCTTTGAAACTTACCATACTTGTTCACCATCATAACCTCCATCTACAGACAAGAGTACATAACTCTGTCAAGGTTTTTGACAGAATTATGGCCCTTTTTTGACTTAGAAAGTGTATTGAGCTTGGTTAAGTTTTTTGTACCACCTCACTTTATTTCAAAACCATTGGAGGTATTGCTTTGAAACTGACCATACTTGTTTTACCATCACGACCTTCATCAACAGACAAGAGGACATAACTCTGTCAAGGTTTTTGACAGAATTATGCCCCTTTTTGACTTAGAAAATACATTGAATATGGGTAAAATCCACTTATTGCCTTAACCCTTTGAGATATTGCTTTGAAACTTTTAATGCTATTTCACATCATTACCCCCATCTGTACGCAAGAGAAGGTAACTCTGTCAAGGATTTGTTTTAAAAATTAAGGCCTTTTATCGACTTAGAATCTTGGTTAAGTTTTTAGTACCAGTCCACTTTTTGACTGAACTGTTTGAGATATTAATTTGAAAGTTGGAATACTTGTTTACAATCATGATTCCCAAACATGTCCAGGAGAAGGTAATTCTGTCAAAGATTTTATTTGAATTATGGCCCTTAACTGTCAATGTTTTGTATTATAGGCAAGCACTAAAAAACTTAAAAATCTAAAAAAATTCATTCCTATCCACTTGTTCACTTTACCATAAATTATGTCATATAAACATTGCTGTAATATTCAAGGGTAATCAAACAACTAGTTCACTTTAAAAATACAGAGATTCTTGTATTGCCTTTTACTGCAAAAACTTTTTTTATTGGCAAGCAATAAAAAAGTCGAGCGCGCTGTCTTACGGACAGCTCTTGTTTGACTTAGAAAGTGTATTGAGCTTGGTTAAGTTTTTTGTACCACCTCACTTTATTTCAAAACCATTGGAGGTATTGCTTTGAAACTGACCATACTTGTTTACCATCACGACCTTCATCAACAGACAAGAGGACATAACTCTGTCAAGGTTTTTGACAGAATTATGCCCCTTTTTGACTTAGAAAATACATTGAATATGGGTAAAATCCACTTATTGCCTTAACCCTTTGAGATATTGCTTTGAAACTTTTAATGCTATTTCACATCATTACCCCCATCTGTACGCAAGAGAAGGTAACTCTGTCAAGGATTTGTTTTAAAAATTAAGGCCTTTTATCGACTTAGAATCTTGGTTAAGTTTTTAGTACCAGTCCACTTTTTGACTGAACTGTTTGAGATATTAATTTGAAAGTTGGAATACTTGTTTACAATCATGATTCCCAAACATGTCCAGGAGAAGGTAATTCTGTCAAAGATTTTATTTGAATTATGGCCCTTAACTGTCAATGTTTTGTATTATAGGCAAGCACTAAAAAACTTAAAAAATCTAAAAAAATTCATTCCTATCCACTGAACCTGCAGTGTTCAAGGGTATCACACAATTCAGTAAAATAATTCTTCACTAAATATCTTAATGCTCATGGCCATTGTTCACTTTAAAAATACAGAGATTCTTGTATTGCCTTTTACTGCAAAAACTTTTTTTATTGGCAAGCAATAAAAAAGTCGAGCGCGCTGTCTTACGGACAGCTCTTGTTACTCCAACTTCTTCAATCATGATAGGATTTTAAAAATATTATATTTTGATAACAGGGATGTTTAAAAAATAACTTTAGAGTGTCCTTCAGTCCGTCTGTCTGTCTGTACATAAAAACTGTTTCCTGTGATCACTTTTAAAGAACTTTTTCAACAAATTTACTCAAAATAGGACATAAGTGAATGGCCAATGGCCCTTCAGAATGTTGCTTGGGCTCTTACCAGTAGGGGACTTATGGATTGCTTGCAATACTATGATAATTGCTTGTTATAATAGACTTGTCATGAAGTGACAAATTATAAATAAAATATAAAAGAAAATATGATACAAACCGAGTCATAAAGCTATTGGAAATTTTGATTTACTGTCCATCAAATTCTAAGGGTTATGCAAAACAATAGGACATTGATGGAATTTTTTCTTTGTTTTTAATCTCCAAATAAGGTTTTAGATTATAATTTTGTTATAATATTAATTTTTATCAAATTGTGATAATTACTATAATTTCTGACATTTTGATGTCTATAAATAATCACAGTGCCTAGACAGATATCTGACATTGAGGGGCGTCTTTGGCGAAATTGAACCAAATATGATGGAAAAAAAATAATGTAATTTTAATCAATTATAAATTTGTACCCAGTTGATTAAATAGTATATTTTTGAAATCTACTTTAAATTACCCGTCCAATTTCAATTTGCAATGCCAATTAATTACAAGATTGCTGTATATTGAAACAAGCTTTTAATGTTTTGCATAGCTCTATGTTTTCTCAATTTGAATGAATGAAAGTTTGTTGTTTACATTACTTACATAGACATCAAAGAGTCTGACAGGTGAGATGTCATTTGAAAAGTAAATTAGACTTTCTTTGATAGGTACAAAAACTATATTTGACTTCCTGTAAGTGACTAGTTATATTATCCGGGTTATATAACCTGTAGTCAAGTTAATCTGTCTCGTCTATTAAACTTGTTTTATTTTCATTTGAAATTTTGCCCTCCTTGTTAGACAAACAGTTGTCTGATTAGATAATAAACTTTTGAACCCTTCCAAGTGCAATTATAGCTTGTCTATAGCAAACATACAGAGCCAGGCCTGATTGTGTATCTATGGGACAGATCCTGGGTTTTTTGCCATAGAGAGGGTTTCAAAATTTCAACAAGGGATAATGATTACTATAGAGGGATTCATTCATCTTGTTTTCACGATCATAAAATGTTATGGGTAATTATTTTGCACGATTTTCACTATGACCCGCTTACCCTTCTCTTTATTCACTTTTTTCTGGTTCTGCACATGAACTCTATACAATTTTACTTGCTCAATTTTGGTATTGAGATATTGAAATCCCTTATCCTAACAATGGATGGCTCCAAATACAAAGCAGGACAATGTCATTATGCTAATTTAGTACTGTAATGACTCAAGCTGTAAAGACTAGATAATATTGGTATGATAGTCATCTCAAATATTCGTGAGGAATGGGTCAGACTTTGTTAAAGAGATTAAGTTTGTTTATATGTTACACCAACTTTGATAATAAGTTATCTGTAATAGGATTGTTTGAAGTGATGTGCACTAAAATTGCAGTGATAACAGCTTGTTAGATTTGTCAGCAGAAAGATAACTGGTGATAATGGCTGTTGCAGGGATAATGATCATATCTCTGATAACAATGACATTGAATATTAAACATGTAGATCAAATGAGCCGCGCCATGACAAAACCAACATAATGGGTTTGCGACCAGCATGAATCCAGACCAGCCAGCGCATCCATGCAGTCTGATCAGGATCCATGCTGTTTGCTATCAGTTTCTCGACTTGTAATAGGGTTGGTAAGCGAACAGCATGAATCCTGATCAGACAGCGCAGATGTGCAGGCTGGTCTGGATCTATGCTGATCGCAAACCCATTATGTTGGTTTTGTCATGACGCGGCTCAAATTATAATTAGAGAAAGGTCAAAATATTTACTACTGCACCATTCACTGTAGAATGCCATTGTGGCAGTGTCAAACATGACCTGTAAGGTCATATAATGTGTTTTTCTCAAATCAATTAAAGCACAACTTGTCTTAATTTATTATGATTTATTATTATTTTCTGAGGAAAATACTGTCATCTACATTTACTTTCCTATAATCTACACTTTGTATTGGTTGAATTGTGACACCATGAATCAATGTCAATTAAAATCATATCTGTATTCCTATTCTGAAGGTTTAGTTAAGATTTTCTTTACAGATTTTACAGAAAGTATTTAATGAAAGAAAAATTTCATGAGTGTGCTATTCTTAAAGAATGCATCAGTCTTATTGATTGCTTAAAGAAATATTCACTCTCACTATACATGCTTGTACAATCAACACCAGCAGTACATTCCATTAGAATAGCACACTGGTGTAATACATGTATTACCGGTATGTATCTGAACAACTTGCCCACATGGACATCTCAGGTGTAGAAGTTGTGAACTTTAAACCTGTTGATAAATCCTCCCACATCGTCTTCCCTCAAATGAACCAACAACCTGTTCATTTAACTGTCTGTACTTGTATAGATGATATAATAAACATACTACAGTAAGATATTTTATTGAGATTACATCATTTTAATACATCTTACAGGACCAATCTTGTCTTTAACGAACCAATTAATTCTTATTTATGACAAACTGTAGACTTCTTATCTGTAACGATCTGCAAATGAGTGCCAGTAATTGTAATATGTTTTTTTTAAGTTGACTGAAAATAGTTCAGGTAATTAAATGTAATTAGTGGCAAGGTGCACTTATTTAAATGATCGACACAGATTCCACTGTTAGTCATCGGTTTGATAAAAACATTACACATGTTTGGTGTCCTATATTTAAACTAAGCAGTTATATAGTTCATTAAACTATGCTAGTTCATTAACTTTAGTTTTTTTCAAGATATATCTTTGTTTCAACAGCATTTGTTAATGAACTAGATAATGATGTTGCTGAGATGTGGGACATGTAACATGTGTAATATTGTAATTATGATGATGACTAAACCTGGAATCTGTGTGATGACAACTAAACTATTTATTATAAGAGTTTATTAACGACACAGGGTAATTTTAATTTAGGCAGATTGTCTTTTTTAAATCAGATATGATTGACCATCTTTTTAAATTTGATATGAAACACATGTACGTAACTGTATTACGACTGTTTTAAGAATGGTTTAGAGGCATAAGAATTGCAGCAAATGTTTATCCCTGCATGATCGTAAGAGGCGACTAAATGGGTTAGAATAACTAGTCTATGTATCTAGCAAGTGAGATAGTTTAGACCCTGGTGTTGCTTTGAAGTTTATAACCCCAAAGGTTAGCGAAAATAATCTTTCCTGTTTGGGCGCCATATGACCTATACTGTGTTTGTGCACCATAAAACGATAGAAACAAAAAAAATAAGCGATCATTTTATGTTACTGTGTGTTATTTTAAGTGTGTTATTATAGAGTTAGTTAATAATTTTTATTTTCAGGTGATGGAATTATTAACACGTCAACAGAGTCTGATGAGAGATAGAACTGTGCTAGCACGAGAGCTCGAGTTCTTACGCAGAAATATTTCACGCAACAACAAGGAAGAAATCTCAAGTTTTGTATCATCTAATAAACTACTTGTTGATGAAGTTTTAGACAATGTCAGGTCTGATGAATTAGAGAAGAAAGAAAGTTATGTGACAAAAACAATGGAGAAAATTGATATAAATGACTTGTGATAGTTTATACATATAAATATACTTGCCCAGTTTGTAGACTAATTTAGAGATGAGCTGTGTAAATGTCACAGATATGGGTAATTTACTTATTTATTTGTTTACAAATGGTCTGCGGTATGCTAATTTATAGACAGTAAAATATTATGAACTACCAATTTACAAAGTAATCATACAAGTGTGAAATATCAAGCGAAATACAGTGTGCCATTTATAAAGTGAATTGTAAAAAATTCTTCCAATCTGGCATATCAACGTAAAACTTTCTTACTCAATTTATTTTAAAACCATTGTTTTGCATGATGAAAATTTTATTTAAATGTAAGTCTGTGTTTAAAATAATATGAGGTTTGGTAAGAAAGTGCTCAAAACTTTATAAGTCCCTTTTCTAACATTATTTTTCATCATTCGAACAATATGAAATCTGTGTTTAGCTTAGGCATGCACTTATTACATGTTGTTATAGACTGTATTATATTTGCCTCAGGTAAACATTTTGAATGAATTTTCATTTACGTGTAACTCGTCCATGCTGATATTTTAAGATGACATAAAGACCTTATGTTTATTTATCGGGACTAATTTTTTTGGGTTAGTGTAGACAGTTTATTGTCAAATAATGCGCAGTAGAGACTAGGTTTTAAGGTCAGTGTAATCATAAGGTCTCAATTGACAGTGATAAGATTTGTGTGTTTATTTATATACTTTACTACCTTATTTATTATAATAAATTTCTACTTTTTAGCTCGACTATTCGATAAGAATAAGTAGAGCTATTGCAGTCACCCGAGCGTCGGCGTCGGCGTCGGCGTAACCACTTATGTTAAAGTTTTTGTAATAGTTCAAATATTTTCAAAGTCCATTGACATATGGCTTTGAAACTTTGCACACTTGTTCACCATCATGACCCCAACCTGTAGACAGGAGGAGGTAACTCTATCAAGCATTTTGACAGAATTATGCCCCTTTTTCGACTTGGAATTTACGTTAAAGTTTTTGTAATAGTTCAAATATTTTCAAAGTCCATTGACATATGGCTTTGAAACTTTGCACACTTGTTCACCATCATGACCCCAACCTGTAGACAGGAGGAGGTAACTCTATCAAGCATTTTGACAGAATTATGCCCCTTTTTCGACTTAGAATTTCCGTTAAAGTTTTTGTAATAGTTCAAATATTTTCAAAGTCCATAGACATATGGCTTTGAAACTTTGCACACTTGTTCAACATCATGACCCCAACCTGTAGACAGCAGGAGGTAACTCTATTAAGCATTTTGACAGAATTATGCCCCTTTTTCGACTTAGAATTTACGTTAAAGTTTTTGTAATAGTTAAAATATTTTCAAAGTCCATTGACATATGGCTTTGAAACTTTGCACACTTGTTCAACATCATGACCCCAACCTGTAAACAGGAGGAGGTAACTCTATCAAGCATTTTGACAGAATTAAGCCCCTTTTCGACTTAGAATTTACGTTAAAGTTTTTGTAATAGTTCAAATATTTTCAAAGTCCATTGACATATGGCTTTGAAACTTTGCACACTTGTTCAACATCATGACCCCAACCTGTAAACAGGAGGAGGTAACTGTATCAGGCATTTTTTTTACTATCAAGCACTAAGAATAGTCGAGCATGCTGTCCTACCGACTGCTCTTGTTTTATATATACGTAGTATAAGTAGTAATAAAAATAATATAAGATATATTTCATGTAGTATCTTTTATCTCATACTATAAAGTACAGATATGCAGTCCGTTGGGTGGAGTGGTGGCCTAGTGGTTATGGTGCCTGCCTCTCAACCCAGGGTCTGTTGGTTTGAATCATACTGGGAACACAAACCTATTTCCACTGGTTTCTAAGTTTCAGAAAGCAAAATGGAGTGTTGTTCAAATAAGCTACTTGCTTCCTTTACAACTGCTCATATCCTCGTGGACAGGCTAAATTTCACAGTCTGCTATAATTTGGTAGTACTGTTATCAGTTCTGTATTACCAAGAGGATATAACTAAATTGACTTGAAATGTTATAAATACAACCTCAGTGAAGAGACAAAGATTATAGATCTTCCTCAAGAGATTTAAAACTTATTGTGAATAGTTAGAAGTTGTGAATTAGGTTACAGTTATGCTGTAATGCTCTGCAGAGGTTGCACTGGTAACCCAAACTTCTTGCTAAGTTGGACTAAAGCATGTTTCCATGGAAATGCAATAATTAGAACAACCCTTTACCTGATGGAACAGAAAGTGTTTCCTATTTACTACCAGTAGTGAGCCTGGTTAGCCTGCCTTTGTGCCGTCTGAAAGACTATATGCTGTTAGGTTGTTTTTTTTTGGTTAGGTCATCGCACTAACACAGTAACGGTCATATGGCAACTTTACTAGTGGAGGAATACCTCTGTTCATTATTTCAGGCACATATGGACACCAGAGTAGAACCGACGCTCTGTAAGCTAGCTGGAAAGTTTTCTCACATGTAGAATTTGAGGACGCTTGCATGACTCGAACCTCGAGCACTTGGCAATGAACACCCCATATATACTGTTGGTAGCTTACTTTTTGAATTTTGATGTCAAAATCCCTCAAATTCCATAGCTGGTCAAATCTGCTACACAAAATATGAGTAGGTCAAGGGTTAAAAAGCATTAGTGGAATAGTATAGAGATACTTTGGTATTTGAAATAAAACAAAAGACAACACATTAAGGTTTTGTCATTTACTCAGTTCTGATATGTACAATGTCATTAAACTCACAGAGTGCTAGCAAACACTTGATAACAAACCTTTGTCACCAATAAACAGCATGGCCAACCTGCACAACAATACAGCCTGACCAGGCTTTATACTGGCAACTACTTAATTTTTTGATTTTGATCTTGAAACCCCCTAAAAATTAACAATGGACAATTCCAATTTTTAAAATGGAATATGTTCATTGATGTTAGGGTTTGTAGTTTAATTTTCTTAATCATGATTTAACTATACCTGCCCTATTTTGTTTGCTGTCAAACATTTCTACAAGTATATTACAAGTAAAATGTACATCAAATACTGAATCTTGCACCAAATATAGAGAACATAAAAGCATAAAATACAATCATAACATTTTATAGAAAATTACATGCCTGAAAATCATTGTCTGATTTTCTCTGAAAAAAAACACAATCTGACAAAAATGATGGAAAAAGTACAAGTTTGGGGATAAAGAATACAAAAAGTAATCTACTGGTAGATGGTTGGTGACATGAATTTAAAAAACAGATATCTAAAAAAAAATAAAGGAACATTAACTTTTTAATAGAATATTATATCATTTCAGCACTTTATTCCAAAATTTTTTAATATTTCCAAATTGACTGATATGATACTTTTAAAATTTCATAATACAGTTTTGAATGTTCCAGGCAAATCTATAAATGTAAGCATAACTACAAAAAAAATAAATAACACCTACAGATTTTCCTATAAAATTAGAAAAAAATGATAGTAAAATCAAATTTTAACATTTTCCTTTCAAATCAAAAGAATGAATTAAGAAACAACAACAAAAAGCTCATTTGTTCATACATAATCACTTGACAAGTTTCTGTATTTAAATTTTTCAAAAAAATCAACCTGTGTAATCAACTTTGAAATAGGTATGATAAAAAAGATGATTCCCTTTAATTAATGAACCTTCTTTGAAGTAATGAAAGATCTATTCCAGCAATAGTAAGGTGCCAATTCTTACCCATTCATTCAGTCTGACCATAATATACATGTACTCTGCTGTCTACTGTTTTGATATTGAAAAAAACCTTTAATTTACAATGTAAAAATTCAAAAAGAAAGCATTTGAATAAGAACATAGCACAAAATCCTTTTCATATTATTATATACATCTTTGTAAATATCATTTATGATTAATTTTGGCGACATTTCTTTTGATAATTTCTTTCATTTATTTATTTCTCTAATCATACAATGTGCCTTCAAATTTATTGCACTATTTTCCTTGAAAAATAGATTTTATTTCTATTAATTTTAATCTTTATGTTTTGCTATAACACAATAAAGCAGGACTGCTAATGTGAAAATGTTTAGTATATAAAAACAATGTAACATTAGGAGAAAAACAACAACAGACATTCGGTGAGCAGAACCATGTATGGTGGGATAATAATTCTAAAATAAAAGTAATGCAGCTGAAAAAAATAATGAACAACTTTGATCAATAGCTCATGTATGAAACAATTCTACAAATCATCAGTCATTTTTTCTTTCACAAAGTACACATTTTATAAACGACTAAAAAATCAAAAGTTCACTTTCAAATTGTACTCCAGTAATGATATATACATTTATTTACACTTAAATAAGTTCTCATTTTCAATTAAGTCTATACTATTAAAGATCTCTAATCAAAAAATGCTAATTGTCCATGCACTTATTCTATAACAATATTCTGTTACAATTTTTTGTGTTATAGCCATGATATTCTATTTATTAACGGAAATCTGTAAAGACCTGTGTTTTTAAATGTATAAACTGGGAGAAAATGTAACTTATTTTCAGACAGTGTGATACCTAACTGACTGAATTCTACAATTTGGAATTTGATTGATTTCTACAGCTGAATGCACTTAATTAAGTAACAACTAATTTGTTCCGAAATCAAAATAACATCATGCAATTTGAAGAAGAAATGAAAAAGTTTAGTTTATCAAAATTCTTATTGAAATCAATAAATCCACACATAACAGCAGCTTGTCATTTGGTTTTAATCACAAATTGCAACTGCAGATAGTAAAGTGTTTTATTTGTGCTATTCCTATAGACTGCGAAAAGAAGTCGGGAACAAAAACTTGCCGCCCAACAAGCATTTACAGGTGCATAAAGTAATCATCTTTCCAATTAATCTAGGAATTTACTGTTGGATCTGTCAGGTATAATACTTGCGCCAGTTTTAATTGTAATTTATTTCCCGTTTTTTTTACATCCGTACCCCATACAGTAAATACCTTTGACAGTTATCTGGTTGTCAACACGTTTTTTTACCTCATTATTTCAATATAAAGTACTTCAATTGGGAAAAGTAATCCTAGCTTTCAGATATCTTTCAAACTTGTCAACTTGACAAAGCAACATGACATTCTATTGGCAAAAGGAAAATTTGTTCGTTTTTCTTTTTTACATTTTAGTTCTAAATATGTGTAATTTCACAATGCCAAAATAGAAACGAAAAGTAAAGATTGTTGGCATGCTCTTTGTTAATCTGCCTTTGTAAGTCAAAGAAAAATGGGAACTACCCCAACTTGCCATGCTGTTGCTATATTGCTATATGACAACCAAGACATTATTATCCTGTCTAAGCATTTCCAATGTCTGATAATATAATTGGCTCTAAAAGATTTTTTTTGCATGTTTCATTTTGTGTCGAAAAAATAATTCATTTTTAATGCATTTTCAACCTTATTGGTTATTTCTAATATATATGTACATCAATTACTCAAATTATGTTTTAAAATTGATTTTGGCTATGACATAATTATTTTGTAAGATTTCACACATATGCACTATAATTATGTAGCTAATTCATTGTATACAATATGCAACACAACACATTTATACAACATCGGAGATTCATATATGCACAATATTTACATATTCAAAATATTGTCATGGAATAAATTAATAAAAGAACCAAATGAATTCTACATCATCATTCCGTATTCTTATGCAGGATTATCCAAACAAATCTGGTAAACAAATAACTCTGTACATCTCTTTAATAAAATTGTCAAATTGAATATTCATGAAAAAAGAAAGAATTCAAGAGAAGGCCACAAAACTATTTGAACAAATGTTTTGATTTTAGATTCTATAATCATAATCCGAAATAATAATTAAAAAAACAACATCTCAAAGGTAGATAATATAACCATTTCATAAGTGAGAGTACTGTTAGAAATGCCATCAATATTTAGCTTGCCAATTAGCAGAGGCAAGCACAATGTCCATTCACCCTGCCACCTCATTTAGGATCAGGATATACAAAAGTCAACTTCCATCAAACAAGTTCTGACTTCATTTATCATAACTTCTTTTTCAATAAACATCACACTTCACAATCTTGTCAGTAATGTTGACATAGTTACTGTAGTTTACAGTTAAATAAGATCAAATGTTCATAATATACAAAGGTGACTGCGTACAAATATGAAATTACATCAAATTAACTGTTTTGCACACATAATTCAAAATGATGAATAAAGCATCATGTTACAGAAGATTGGTCCATTTCCTGTTTACAAGCTAGAAACCGCATCATATATATAATATAAATAAGCCTATATTTTTTTCATCATTACCAATTATCTCCCTTGTCTACAATTCTGTCACTTGTTGTCTCCCTTGAAGTTTCAACCAATCAGATCAAAGTTAACACCAAAAAAACACTACACTCATTTTCATTGGCTTATTTTCAAATAGCTGCCCAATCCTTGTACAAACAGTGTGACTGGAGATTCCCACAGTTTTCCTTGTTCACAAAACCATTTTCACGATCTTCATTTGTAAGAAATAGTTTTCGCTGTTCATCTGGCGAATCAGATTTTAATGACACTGCTATACAAGGGTGGTCATACTTTTGTACGACCACTGTATCGTAACTTAGTTTATTTGGAATTTCTCCATTTAAATTATATTTATGCTGTAACGTAGGAGAATGTCCAATAAAAAGTGGACATTTACAGTATGTATCTTGACCAGCAACACTCCAGCTTGCCTGGTGCCGCTGTTTCAGTTTGAGATATAATAAAACAAATACTAATATTAGCAAAATCATCACAAAACTTCCCACAATGGAAAGTGAAATAATGTACTTCTCCTCAATGTCCTTCACATCCACACTGTCTGTATTGGCACTAACTGAAATACAAAAAAAAATCCGAAATATGAAAGAAAAACAAAACATTTAGACATTTAGATTCTTACATTTATTATTAATTGCAGAATATGTGTGTTTCAAAACTTTATTGCATGGAATGGATATCAATCAATCATGGCATTGTTCAGGCATTGTTCAGCAAAACAAAAGATTTGTCATAAGAACTTAATATCTTCTTCAACCTTATCCCAACTTAATTTGTGCTTTAATTTGTCCCTGTTTTTCATTTTCAGAAGCTTTCAACAGTGAGTATCAAAAAACTAATACAGAGAATTCAACAGTATTGAATTTGATCAGATTGCATGGATGGGCAAGCTGGCCTGGCTACAAGCCGATGACATAGGACTTTCTTTTCATCCGATTAAAATAATGGAATGGGCAAACAAAAAAGTTTACAATGCATAATTCCAAGAAATTTTCATAATTTTGTGTTAGTAAATTATTTTGATCCAATTAAAATCAGAACCTAAATTATTCATCTTTTTCAGTAAAGTACAACAAACTCTGAAATTAAGGCCGATTGCAAATTATTTTATACATCAACTCCATTGCTTATTCAAAGTTCCCTTCAAACTAGAATTCCCACCCTACATTAATTGATCATCAAGATAGAAAATTTCCACTTTGATATATCTTACTGATCGCTGACAGGAACTTATGATACACAGGAAAAGAAAACAGTATTTAACACTGAGTCCAGGATTTTAAATAAATATACTACTGCTATTTTACAGGCACTGTTATAGACCTCTTATCAATGCTCCATATTGATTTAACTAAACTCTGATCATATCTTTGGAATACTAACACCCACAATATTTGAGGGTTGAGGAATTCCTGACTGGTATGTACAGGACGAGACACACAGTGATGCAATACAAGCGGGTATTCATGCTATATAGATAGAAAATGATTGATTGTAGACATTAATAGATAAAACATTATCTTTAAATTTAAGAGCAAACTTTAAAGCCATTAAACATATAGGTCAACATAAATGTGGGTATCTCATCAATGTTAACAGTCACATTTTCTTTACAAACATTATGTAAAAAAAAAACCACAACAGAATACATTTAAACAAATGGAAAGTATTTTAGTGACTTCAGTTTGTAAATTATGAAAATGTTTGTTTTTTTAATGCAAATTTAGGTCATATCTCGGCAATCAGTCCACCAATCCAACTTTTTTGGATAATTCATCAGAAATTGCTAATTTCTTCGAAGTGAACAGTGAATGATTACTAATCCCACATGATTTCTGAATCAGCAGTGAGAGAAAATGACCATTAGACTTAATGTCATTTTAAAGTTTATATCTCACTTGAGGTCCCTATATACCGGTACACCCCAACCAAAGGTCAGCCTCTGAATCAATACTGCACATTAAAAAATGTATTTTTCTACTTCAGTCACAATATTACTATTACAGTCAAATGGTAACTGCTGTAAGCTAAGACTTTTGTCAGACCGTCTCTGCACAGGTGAGCTGTGCTTTTATTTGTCTGAAGATTTCATGAAATTTTACACACAATAAAATATGTGACCTACACAATAGAGCCACCTATGTGTTTAATAAATTAGCTGCACAAGATAAAGGTACATTTAAGAAAATGGAAATCTGAAAATTAAATATCTGTGCCATTCTGGAATGTAAAAATTAGATTAAATCCCAACAATTATCCACTGATAAAGATTCATCACTTATCAGATACTGTGATACATTTTGATAAACTGAATCACTATCTGGCATAATTACAAAATCCTTTAATTGAACTGCTGTTAGAAAAAAAAACACCCAGCAGTTAATAGACTGTCTCTAATGTGCCAAATACCTCAATACTTATTCTGTTGTTGTTGTTGTTTTTTCCTTTTTCACTTTTTTTTATACAACCACATTAAAATGTGATTAGTCTGAGTGCACTAAACGATGCATGCAATTGCATGTTAATGAATTCGCAACACTTCTTCCACATTTTAATGGGTTTTTCAGTAGGAAATAATTACTGCGTGTGCCGGCCTTGTCAATTAAAGATGGGGTAATATGTTCAATTAAAATTTGAACTCTTAGATAAAGTCCTCAATGTTTTTATAATACCAGATTGGAATTCAATAAGCAAAAAGCACACGAATAAGTTATGAAAAGTCAAAGATTGCATTATGGAAAGTGTCCATATTTATGAAGAAAAGTTTTGAATGTTTTACATAAATTTAATTTATATTATAAATAAAGATACACAAGAATCCAGTATTTCTATATCTGGACAAAAATACCAAAGTTATTCTTGAAATTAAAGTTGTTGTTGAAACAACAAAAATCAAAACCCATTTTGGGTTGGTATAAAAAAAATATTGTTTGGTCATGACCTAAAAAATTGGTGTCGAAGGTTAGGGGGAGAAAGGGGAAATGTTAAGTATGGACTCAGTATTAATTCTATAAACGTACACGTACAGATGATAACGTAGAAGAAAGAAAAAAATTATAGATGTAGATCTACTTAAACTAGTGAAAACGCTTGATTAACAAGAGAATAAGATTTTTAAAATGTTGTAGGGATGGTAGCCCTTATCATATTAAAAAAATGACTTGTCCAACTTGACAAACAAAATTTCCTCCAGTTATTGACAACTCCCTAACATCAAAAGAAAGGTGGAGTAAAGGTATCTTCAATCAAATTATTTTCATGCACCATTTCATCATACAACATATTTCTGAATTCAATTTTACAGGTAAGAATTTAATAATTATTATGCATATAAATGAAAATTAGTTTTAGTATTTTCACACTGGCCATAGCTTTCGCAGAAGCGGTGGGTCCATCACAGCGGCGGTGGAGTATTCGTCGCAGAAGCGGTGGATAAAATATGGCCGTTTGCTGTTGTCGGTAAGTTTATGTATTAATTTTGTTTTATGTTTTAATGTTTTACTTGAAACACTCAGTGAGACTGGAGCCCACATATGTACTCTTTCAACCTATTACACGCACACGGTGCAATTCATTGCCGTTTATGCAAACACTTCTGTACAGTTTGATGAGGGGACGCCACTTTTGCCTTATTTTGGTTAAAACACATACAAATGTGTGAAAAACGACCCCATAATACATCGGCATCACATCGAATGAATGATACTTTCACAAATCAACCATAATTTCGAAAATTGGGAAATTATTATTGCCTGTTTGTAAAATAAATGACAAAAACTGTTTTTGTCGCAGACGGCGGTGGATTCGATTGCAACGCAGTGCGGTGGATCCGATACCATTTTTGTATATTTTAAGAATTTAACTTGACGTAACGCACTTTTCAATTGAGCGCAGTCCTTTTCTTACTTTGACATCTGAGAAACGTGTTTATTTGATGTTAAAAACGATATTAATTATTATATATACGCTCGTACAAATATATTTCCGAGGTCCTCTTTCATTTTCCTTCCATTGAAATTTACTTCAGCCATAATTATCATAGATTAATCCACGTTCAACATTTTATTACGGGTTATTACTAATTATGAAGTATTTTTGAGTGTGAATGCACCATTCCAGATGAAAAGCGCAGGAACGTCAGAACATATATAGTGCCCCTTTATCATATTTGTATTTCCAAGTTCATATTAGGGATCATGCATTTGACAACCCGGACCGTAGAAGAAACGGCGGAAACTAAGAGTCATAATATTTGACCTTGATGCACCACCGGAAGGAAATTTCGCGATGTGCAGGGAATTCCACAAATGTGATGAATCCAGCCAAAATATCACATTTGTCAGACCTTTACATATTATTCGTGATCAAGTGTTATACCTTATAACCAATGCCGATTTCTGACTTAATTATTAAAAGCGGCATGGCTGGGAGAGATATATATACAGATTTTTTTGCATATATATTTTGCATTATGGCATATTAGTTATAAAAACATAAAATTAACACACATTCATGACATTTTCGAGAGTATCATATTAGTTTCAAGATTTTCAAAGGCTATACAATATGGCCGTATATAAACGGTTGTTTGAAAATATAATACATAAACATACAGTCAATTTCTTATTAAATAAACAGCAGTCGTGTATGTAAACTTTATAATACTGCATGTTTGTAATGTAACTTTTCATCGGATAATCGAGACGTTTATTTAGTAATAGAGATTTTTGGTTTATTTGTGACTTTATTTTCTGATTTTTAAACACATGTACAAGTATTATTAAGAATTTTGATAGCTATTAATATTACGAACAACCGTTTATATACGACCATATAACCAGTTGGATTTATTTATAACGAACTCATAATACATCAAGCATTTTTGTTAGAAAAAAAATGAGATAATTTCATAAATCGACCGCAGCCATGTATTTAAAAAGTACATTGTGTGTACATAAACGTCACGATTATCCAATAAAAAGTGACGTAACAAACGTGCAGTATTATAAACACATACACGCAAAATTAAGGAGGTTCAATATAATTATATTCTTTAAATTAAGCATGATGCTACAATATGATTACATAAACATTTAGAGCGAAACTTAGGGTCACCGATCTGATTTCCTGTACGTGAATTTGAATTTTTCCTTAATTGGGGTTATTTCTAGGTCATATAACTTAAATATAAGTCTGAAATTTTTTTTCCCAGCTTGTTATTATCTTCACTATATTTGTGTACATTTTCAATAAAATAATTATATTACCTTTTTTTAAATTTTATTTCATACTTTCTTTTAAAATATACCATATTTGAAAACATTTTTTTTTCGATAAATGTCACAATTTAAGAAAAAGAAGAAAAACTAAAGCTATTAAACGCGCAGGTCTTTAAAAAAAAGTAATAGAGAAAACTTTTCCTTAAATAACTCTTATAATTTATTTAAATTGGTGTTCTCAGTATATGGTAATATAACGTAGTGACATTAAAAATTGAGGTTGTTTTTCGTATTCAAGAAGCATGTTCTGTTATCTTTACGAGTATCTATTTTATATGTCTTTATGACAAAAACATTGTTGAACCTGGAACTTACGGTCTTTTTAAGTCCAAGGTTGAACGTGGATTATTCTATGATAATTATTGCTGAAGTAATTTTCAATGGAAGGAAAATGAAAGCGGACCTCGGAAATATATTTGTACGAGCGTATATATAATAATTAATATCGTTTTTAACATCAAATGAACACGTTTCTCAGATGTCAAAGTAAGAAAATGAGTGTACTCAATTGAAAAGTGCGTTACGTCAAGTTAAATTCTTAAAATATACAAAAAATGTATCGGGCCCACCGCACTGCGTTGCAATCGAATCCACCGCCGTCTGCGACGAAAACATTTTTTTGTCATTTATTTTATAAAAGGCAATAATAATTTTTCAATTTTCCAAATTATGGTTAATTTGTGAAAGTATCATTCATTCGATGTGATGCCGATGTATTATTGGGTCGTTTTACACACATTTGTATGTGTTTTAACCAAAATTAGGCAAAAGTGACGTACCCTCATCAAACTGTACAGAAGTGTTTGCATAAACGGTAATGAATTGCACCGTGTGCATGTAATAGGTTAAAAGAGTACATATATGGGCTCCAGTCTCACTGAGTGTTTCAAGTAAAACATTAAAACATAAAACAAAATTCAGTCATAAACATACCGACAACAGCAAACGGCCATATTTTATCCACCGCTTCTGCGACGAATACTCCATCGCCGCTGCGATGGACCCACCGCTTCTGCGAAAGCTATGGCCAGTGTGATTTTATTGTAGGAAAGATGATAATATTCAGTACACGAGCCCAAGGTCAGGTGAGATATTGAAAGTATCCAAATACTATTACATAACCAGGTCATTAAGTTTAGTAAACTCTATTTTTTCTTTTTATATCAGGCCCCTTGTTCACTAAGAAAATATTAGGTTTAGGATCAAGTGATCCTGATTTTATTTTCATTGTTTTATGTTACTAAAATTAATCGTAATTTAATTAAATGGTACATATTCAAAATGTAAAAAGTTGCTGATTTGCAAAGAAACTAACCTATTTTGAGACAAAATCAAGAAAAAACAATATAAATACAAAAATATTGGGATCAAAATAGGATCAATTTTAGGATCAGGATCAATATTTGGATTAACTGTAAAAAGCCTGTATTTTGCAAAAAATAACTATAAGTTTATTCTAAAATTTCACAGACTTGCTTTTGCATGTCCCGTTTAATCAAATTAATATTAGATATGTTATCTATGAAGATAAACAATGAAGAATATATCAGTTTTAAAATTGATCCTAAAATTTTCCTGATCCTGATCCTTAAATCTTTGTGAACACTGGGCCAAGGGTTTATAGTTTTGCAAACCTTTTATATTTACTGTTAGTCACACATGTTTTTTTTCCTCAGATTCCTATATAATTTAGCAAAGGAGATGTTTGTTTTACTTTACTTTTCTTAAGCCTTAATGGTAACTGAAATTCTGATATATGACTTTGTAAGGCCTGATCTTAAACAGCATAATCTAAAAGTATATTTCATTAAAACAGGATAAGAATGCTATTTGTTTGGGGTTTTTTTATTGTAACAAAATTTCACCTGAAATGCAGGTAACCTGGATTTGGTATATGGACATTTGCTCTCTAGGACATTTGCCCCCCCCCCCCCCCCCCAAATCTATAAATGGATTACTGAAGATTAGCTGCCCCCCTCCCCCAGTGGAAAATTAAAGTTGGACATATGCGGTAGGAGATAATATCAAATCCTGTGGATTCAGTTCAGTCCACCATACAAAAAAGGGCAAATAATTCAACTTAGATTGGTCAATTTTATTTTTTTTTTAGTCATTTATTTTCATCAAAACATTTTTTCAGTTCTGCTCTTTCTTCCAGCCACTAAAAATGACTAGGCAGATGACTGACCTCACGATATTTAAGTAAAAATATTTGCCATGCTTACCTTGGACAGTTTTTGCTGTCTTGCGTCGAGTTTCTGGGGTAAAAAACTGTGAAATAGTAATATCTGAAAATATGACCAAAAAAAGGAAAATCCAATTAAGACATGATTTATCTATTTAAACATAATAATGTACCTGTTTCGTCCCAGCATGCAAACATAGATAAACTATTTCACGCCCCAAGATTTACATAATCTACAATATCGTTTCTATCTCCTATAATGTTGTACAATTCAAGTTTATGACAGCTGTCGTTATGTTTGATATACCAGTATTGTCTACAGGTTTTTTACCCCACTTTCTAATACAAAGATTTTCCGCACGATTACAGTTGAATCTGTGAAAGTCGTGTTTACAAAGAGCGACTTATCCTTCTGATGAATCATTTAATGATGTCATTTTGTATTTATATCTACTTTATTATTCATCGGACACATCATTTACATAATTATAATGTTCAAAAGACCTTGTCATATTTAACTGTACATTCAAATGCAGTACCTATTTCCTGATTATACTGGAATATCGAAGTCGTGCTAAAATGTGGTCATTGTCCTCTTGGAATTTAGAGTTTCACAAATTTTTTAAAATAAAGTATAACATTTAACTGATATTCTAAATTTAGCTTTTAAACAACTTCACTATTTTCATTTTTTGCCTTACAAAATATCAAAAGTTTTGATAGTCACTAGTGAATACAGCCTTCACTCTTATTAAGAGCCTAATTCTACCATGTTTAAATAAATCAGAGAGCTTTTGTTTTTTTACTTGTAAAACATCCATAAACTGATAACAGTAAGTAAGAATGGTCAAATCCATATAAAGCAATCTTATAAAAAAGGTTAATGCTCTTAACAGATTAATTAAGTACTTCACTTTCCTACTTGAAAATAAAATTTCACCTTTTGTAAATAGGCACTTAACTCTTAATACATATAGTAGAACAAACATCATATGTTGTATTTGTTGTTTTTAGAGGACATTCCCCTCTCAATCATTGCACTAATATAAGTCTTTTTTTTTTTTACTTTTCTTTTCCACAAAAAAAATCCCTAACATCAAACTATGATATAATTATTTACAATGTCACAAAGAATTCCTGTAAACAAGTGCCTCTTCAATAGATAATTTACACTTGAAATGATAAAGGAGCCAAAATAGATGTAAATTTTCTTCCCCACAAAAAAAGTAAAATATTTACTGGATTCTTCTCAGAACTACCAAAATGTCAAAACACTTAAATCAAGAAAACCGAGAAGCATTCCATGTCAGTTAACAATATACCTTACATGCATGCAACTAAATAACATGAATCATTCAATATTGTAAATAAAATATTGTTCAACAAAAACATCTTCAAAGTGTTTTGATATTAAAACAAAATATGTTCATAAGGATTCCTTAGTGAAGATTGTATTGCAGTCTTTTTCAAAAAGTAAAAAAAAATACTGGCACTCACAAAAGTAACTGTCAATAACAAATAAATCAAGTAGCTGTTGGAACCAACACTGATTTGCCTTTGTCACCAGAATAGAAAGGGCAGACTTGCAGTCCGACCGGGTTCCACACTATTGGCTGAACTTTAAATTTTGATCTTTATATCCCCAAAATTGATAATGAACAGTTATAAAAAGGAAGCTGGACAAGTCCATTTAAGAAATTCAGCAGGTTAAGGGTTTATATCAAATGATCCTGATAAATGTATCACACTACCACTCTCTGTAATAAGACTGAGAATAAACCTATCTGTATGTAATAAAGAATAATAAAGTAATATAAATGTTTATTTTAGGCTTATAGCTGGTGCAAGGGGTTGTGGACAGTAACTTGCCATTTCCAGTACTGTCCATGAACAGGCTTAATGCACATTTCCAGTTTTGCTATTTTGAACATTTTTTAAGGATTCTATTTCACTCTATTTTAGCAACACAAAATATGACAGAGTTAAAGAATCAGTTACTAACGATGTTGTTATGTATTTTATCAAATTGTACATGTATGCTACTTAATAATTGTACATGTACATGTATATAACTTACTGAGACAAACTGGACAACACTCTCCATCTTTCTTCACCATGAACGCACATGACAGCTGTGGGCACGTGCGTGGTTCACACAACACCGTACCGTCACGTTTACACATACATCGGTTACAGTCACCATCTGACCAAGACTGACCAGGCGTAAACTCTGTCATGTTCATCGTGCAGTTTTTCTCCCATAATGCTTCTGTAATACAACTTGTATATGACAAACTGTATATGACATTTTGTATATATGAAAATATCACCTTTATGAATACTAACAAACACTAGGTAAGTGTGAACAACTTATTTTTGTAATATTTACACACTAAGGAATTAATGCTGAGACAAGACATTATATAACCACAAAAATGTCTCTGTGAAATACTACAGAGATTTTGGTAGTAAATGTTCTCACATGAGTTATTTTAAACCGCAGAAATAATTCTTCTGAACCATGTTGGTTTTGGAAAATATATGATATAAATACGTAAAAATGATCATGATTCCAAACATTCTCATCAGTCCTGTAACACTGTGAATACAATAAGCTATCATATATTGTCAGGAGTTGTTAAGGTGTCTGCCTTTCAACCTATGGATCATGGGTTCGAGTCCTACAGGAGTCATGCCCATGTTTCCACAAATGACACCAGCACTGGTAAATTACAGGAAGCGGACTTGAAAGTAGTTTCAAAATAGCTACAAGGTTTCTTCACAATTAAGTTAAAAACTAAATATTGTTTGACATTACCTTGACACTTGCAGACTTTGCATCCATGTCTATCTCGCTGTAACCCATGGTAGCACTGTTTTTCACAGGTCAAAGTTGGACATTTATGACAACGACATTTTGGACATCCTTTCTTACTCAGTTTAAAACCATGACTACAGTGTTTGGAACAAGTGTGAAGCGCGGGGCAGTCTGGGGGGCTTATGTGACACTGGCATGTCTCTTTTCCAAGCTCATCTGATACGTAACCATAGCTACAATCCTTAAAACATCCCTCTGAAATTAGAAGTATAATACTCATTTAAAATAAAGTAACAATTGAAAATTTTTTCTTTTTTTTTCTTTTTGTTACAAACACATTAGCAATCTAGGATCTACAACATCCGGACCTTAAGCTTAGCCTTTCAAAAATCAAAAGGAAAGAGGTTCTTAAAATCAGACATCTTAAGAATGTACAATGATTTTTTTATGGCCTTGATAATCTAATATATACACAAAGTTGAAACAAAATTATGACCAAATTAACCCATAATGCTATAAAACGACTTTGTGCAGACACTAAGTGAAAACAGGAGCTTTGCAATTATATAAAATTGTTAAAAATCATAACCATGATCTTTAAAAAGACTGTGCAAGAGAATTGCAGTATTGCAAAAATGCATAGAAGCTCAAAATACACTTGGATAGTACATACATTATGTACATACACTACTTGAATGGAAAGTACATATCATTTTGTGCAAGTCATGCACCACTTGGAATGTACTTGGAGGGTACAATATCCATGTACCACAATGAGATTCCGAGTATCATTATGTACAGAAACCACTTGGTGCATTAAAGATATTTCTAATTTTACATTATTTAAAATTGGATTCAAAATAGCAACCTTTAGAGTAGTAAAGAACACTAAGACTTATATACCTGGTTTACATTTGCAGATATGACATCCATCTGGTGTCTGTTGAAGGCCTGTCTGACAAGTGATGTTACATTTGGAGAGACTGGCACATTTATTTGAGGACTGGTTAGGGTACAAGGTTGGAGCTGAAAACAGAAAACAAATTATTTTGTAAGTAATTGTAGATTTTTGTATGCAGATTAATAATAAATTAATGATGTGCAAACATGTGGCTATATAACATGTATTATTAATCAACAGAATCCAATCATTTTCAAGTTATCTGTAAAACAAGCACACACACACACTGACAAACAACAGAAAATTTGACTATATCTCCCTTATGGTTTTGCAGAGAAAGTAGAAACAGAACAACCTGGTTTTATTGAAGAGAAAGAGCTGTAAAAACAGACAGTGATAATAAAAGACAAAATCTTTGAAAAATTCCAACCAACTACAACACTACCAGTTTCTACTACAATAACTTCATATCCACATAATTACACTTTTATAGCCATGTTACAATCCAATTATTATAAAAATAGGCATTCCATTATTTCTAATTAGGATTCTGTAGAATCAGAAAGGCAATAAAAGTCACATTTGTTACATCACAAATCTCTGATCACACCCTGTGATTTGTATGTAGGAGGTAATGGGAAAAACAGACATACAATGGGCATTCAGAAACTTTTTTTAAGGTCTTATAAAAGTTTCTGGTCTCTGACATTTTGACAATCATTCTTTTCTTTATTCCAAACCTTGCACCAAGGCAATGCTTCTTTCTACCTAAATAAATGCTCAGTAAGCATAATGGGGCCAGTTCTGCAATTTAACACCAAGTGGACAATTTATTCTGTTATCACAATCCAGGCATATATCATTCTAACATGATATTTAATATATAGAAGGCAACCAATAAGATATTTTGGGAAAAATAGACCAAAGATGAGGGCCTTTTGTATGGACATGCAGCTTTAGTACACAATATTGTCACCAATGTTTTAATTCCATCACTCTCTCATAGTTCAAGGTCTTCTTGGTTAAGAAATACATATTTCCAGGAGCTTAACTTTTCAAAGAATATCATGCCAAATCTTATGCAAAGAATTAGAACTATTTCAGATCATTTAAACACTTAGCCAGGCTATAAAACTATGTCAGTATGTCTTAAAATCACACAAAAATAAAAGCAAATCTCAAGAGATTTGTTTTCTGGATGGATTTTTATTATGACTAATGATTAATTTGATACACTGCCATTATACTGGCCGACCTGGACTGGCACGTTTGCCAGACATACTTGCCAGAATGCCAATAATATATTGTTGTGTACGTCTGCTGCAATTTCTCTCTCACTGATCATTGATACTTTATTTGTTTGCTATAACATAACTACCAATAACATTTGTAATCACAAGCTAATTACTGGGCACACTCCCAATCATGTTCGGTCAAAGACTTCCCTGATCGTGACAATATTTTCCAAATATCCCTCACTAATAGTTTCATGTCCAAGTTCATCTAAATGACATCCTTTTTTTATAGAATACATGTTAAATTGCTAGTATATCTAGGGATTATTTATCTTAAATTCAACAATTATTATTATCATATGAAAGAACAATCTATTTTGTTGTAATGTTTGTTTTAGAACAAAATACTGAAAATTTTGAGTCAATGAAAACTGAAACATATGATTAAAATAAAGATATCTCAATGATTATGAAATAAATTATAATATATCACAGTATCTATAATTCCTGTATTTTTAAATAATATATTTGAATATCAAATGCAAAGATTTAAATGTCAAAGCAGAGAATGAAGTAGCCAGAACAGCTAATTCATCAAATAGACAGATTTGGTGTGGTCTCTCCATACCTTGTGCAGATACATAAATTCAAAACAAATAAACAACAATCCATCACTACAATAGATTATGTTTGGAAAGGTATCTGACAGACAGAATTTCTCGCAAAATAATTGCTATCTGATAAGCCTAGGAAACAGGTTCAGGAGAAAGTTCTCAGATTCTGATAAAGGGAGATAAGCAGGTTATCCTTCAATAATTGCTGTCAAGACAAGGGTAGATAACAATTCAAAGAAATAGATACAAATTAGATGAAATAAGATAACAAAGTTCAAAGGGGAGTTAATATTAGGTCTTTATTTCTTTCTTTTCTTAAACATGAAAGGGAAAACAGTTTATAGTAACACTGCAAGTTTTTGTTTTAGAATAAAACTGCATGATTTTTACAAACAAGTTGCAATGGGTTACATGCTATCCTAATTAAAAGGCAATTAAATGTTGATTTTTGCACCTGTTACAACTTAAGTCACTCTAAGATGATTTAACAAAATATGCAGATCATAAGAAGAAAGGGGAAATAACTCAATGACTCAGTGGGAAAGCACCAACCAAAGATTTAAATATGTACTATACCAGTGAAAAAATCTTGAAAAGTTGACATCCTTTAACAGCTATGAAAACAAAACTTTTAAGCTAAACTTGCAGATTGGTTTAACTCAGTCTGTTAATGTGGGATTAAGGAAAGTACAACATTTTTTAAGCCCACAGAGACTGGTTTAAAGCACTGCATTCAATCTTCAACAAAATAAAGTATTGTAATCAATGGTACAGAATGACCAGAAAAATATAACAAGACTGAAAACAAACAAAACATGTTTAGTACTCTTAAAAAAGAAAAATTTGTCTCCTCTCTAATATGAGCTCAATAAAAAAATAAGTTATCATACATGATAGTAATATATCTTATGCTGATACACTTTATGTTGGTCATGCTATTTTATGCTGATTAATCAAATTTGAAGACACTGACAGATTGCTCACAGTGAGGTAGAATGTAAGTTGAGTGTAAGTATGAGATGAAGGGGAATGTTGGAGATTCCTGGGATATCTGTTACACTGTAACTACATGTTACACTGTTATCTATCTGTGAGGTGTCAGATATGTGAAATATTGTACATATGAATCAATCAGTAATCATCATTTATATATCAGCCTATCAGTCATGTTGAATGATTTACAAGGGAGGTTATCTATCGGTTAATAAACCTAGACCTGTCCTTCATCTCCTTGAGTTATACTTTTTTAAGTCACTTGTGGAATAATTTCTTTAATATGATATAATGGCATAGCCAACATAAAGTATATCAGCATAAAATAGCATGATTATCATAAAGTTTATAAGCATTAAATACCATGACCAACATAAAGTTTATAAGCATTAAATACCATGACCAACATAAAGTTTATAAGCATAAAATAGCATGGCCACATAAAGTTTATCAGCATAAAATAGCATGATCATCATAAAGTATATCAGCATTAAATAGCATGATCATCATAAAGTATATCAGCATTAAATAGCATGATCATCATAAAGTATATCAGCATTAAATAGCATGATCATCATAAAGTATATCAGCATAAAATAGCATGATCATCATAAAGTATATCAGCATAAAATAGCATGGCCATCATAAAGTATATCAGCATTAAATAGCATGATCATCATAAAGTATATCAGCATAAAATAGCATGATCATCATAAAGTATATCAGCATTAAATACCATGATCATCATAAAGTATATCAGCATAAAATAGCATGGCCAACATAAAGAATATCAGCATAAAATAGCATGGTCAACATAAAGTATATCAGCATAAGTATATCAGCATAAAATAGCATGGAGGGGCGTCCGTGGCCAAGTGGTTAAGGTCGTTGACTTCAAACCACTTGCCCCTCACCTCTGTGGGTTCGAATCCCGACAGGGACTTTGGATTCTTTCATGTGAGGAAGCTATCCAGCTAGCTTACAGAACATCGGTGGTTCTACTCAGGTGCCCGTCCGTGCCTGAAATAATGCACAAAAGGGCACCTGAGGTCTTCCTCCACCAGTAAAGCTGGAACGTCGCGATATGACCTAAACTGTGTCGATGTGACATAAAACCCAAAACAAACAAACAAACAAACAAAATAGCATGGCCAACATAAAGTATATCAGCATAAAATAGCATGATCATCATAAAGTATGTCAGCATAAAATAGCATGAACATCGTAAAGTATATCAGCATAAAATACCATGATCATCATAAAGTATATCAGCATAAAATAGCATGGCCAACATAAAGTATATCAGCATAAAATAGCATGGCCAACATAAAGTATATCAGCATAAAATAGCATGGCCATTCATAAAGTATATCAGCATAAAATAGCATGATCATCATAAAGTATATCAGCATTAAATAGCATGGTCATGAAAAGTATATCATCATAAAGTATATCAGTATAAAATAGCATGATCATCATAAGGTATTATGTATGTCAGCATAAATGACCAGTTTTGAAATGTTTGCCCACTTAAATAAGATAAGTCAGAGATAGTAAGATATTATTGAAGATGATATTGAAACAACACAGAGAGAAATGTTTTATTAAATGGAATGAACTCATATCAGATTTTTAAAGAAACAAGCATACATAATAAACCCCAATTGAGATTTGGTTAACACAGCTTGATAGATCAAGGCAACAAAAATCTCAATTCATGAATAAGCAAAACATTGCTCAAAAATGGCAAAACCTGCATATTAACTAAATAGATGTTCAGTAATTGAGCCAAAACAGCAAAAAAAGATATCAACTTTGTTACAAAAGTAGGGGAATTGTTTAGAGGTTTTTACTATAAACAATACAATTCTTATGTTTTATTGGTACTGCATTCAGTCAATGATTTATGACAAGGCATAAACACTTTTTTATTTCTTTTATTTTCATTTCTTGAAATATTTATCAGCAAAAACAGCAAACAAGTATTACTATATAAACCTAGTTTATCTAAATTAATTCTTTTTATATCTGGTATTTCACCTTTCCCAAAATAAAACATCATGAATGAAATATTGTAGAATAAAATAGGCAAAAAAATACCTGACAGCTTTTTAAAATAATGAATGAAAACGCTCCATGTTTATATCTTACCACTTAAATATTTATATGATATTACATGCAGCTTCTCCAAGTTTGCAACTTGATTAACAGTGTTACTAATTGGGTACACTGGCATTTTAATTGCTAATTAAACACACAGTATTGTCTAATCCAGAATCCAAT